ACCTGAAGCGGTCTATGACCTGGTTCCTCACCCACCTGAAGCGGTCTATAACCTGGTTCCCTCCACCTGAAGCGGTCTATAACCTGGTTCCTCCCCCACCTGAAGCAGTCTATAACCTGGTTCCTCACCCACCTGAAGCGGTCTTAAACCTGGTTCCTCACCCACCTGAAGCGGTCTATGACCTGGTTCCCTCCACCTGAAGCGGTCTATGACCTGGTTCTCCACCCACCTGAAGCGGTCTATAACCTGGTTCTCCACCCACCTGAAGCGGTCTATGACCTGGTTACTCACCCACCTGAAGCGGTCTATAACCTGGTTCTCCACCCACCTGAAGCGGTCTATAACCTGGTTCTCCACCCACCTGAAGCGGTCTATGACCTGGTTACTCACCCACCTGAAGCGGTCTATGACCTGGTTCTCCACCCACCTGAAGCGGTCTATAACCTGGTTCTCCACCCACCTGAAGCGGTCTATGACCTGGTTCCTCACCCACCTGAAGCGGTCTATAACCTGGTTCCCTCCACCTGAAGCGGTCTATAACCTGGTTCTCCACCCACCTGAAGCGGTCTATAACCTGGTTCTCCACCCACCTGAAGCGGTCTATGACCTGGTTCCCTCCACCTGAAGCGGTCTATAACCTGGTTCCTCACCCACCTGAAAAGGTCTATAACCTGGTTCTCCACCCACCTGAAGCGGTCTATGACCTGGTTCCCTCCACCTGAAGCGGTCTATGACCTGGTTCCTCACCCACCTGAAGCGGTCTATGACCTGGTTCCTCACCCACCTGAAGCGGTCTATGACCTGGTTCCCTCCACCTGAAGCGGTCTATGACCTGGTTCTCCACCCACCTGAAGCGGTCTATAACCTGGTTCTCCACCCACCTGAAGCGGTCTATGACCTGGATCCTCACCCACCTGAAGCGGTCTATAACCTGGTTCTCCACCCACCTGAAGCGGTCTATGACCTGGTTCCCTCCACCTGAAGCGGTCTATAACCTGGTTCTCCACCCACCTGAAGCGGTCTGTAACCTGGTTCTCTACCCACCTGAAGCAGTCTGTAACCTGGTTCTCCACCCACCTGAAGCGGTCTATGACCTGGTTCCCTCCACCTGAAGCGGTCTATGACCTGGTTCCTCACCCACCTGAAGCGGTCTATAACCTGGTTCTCCACCCACCTGAAGCGGTCTATGACCTGGTTCCCTCCACCTGAAGCGGTCTATAACCTGGTTCTCCACCCACCTGAAACGGTCTATAACCTGGTTCCCTCCACCTGAAGCGGTCTATAACCTGGTTCCTCCCCCACCTGAAGCGGTCTATAACCTGGTTCCTCACCCACCTGAAGCGGTCTATAACCTGGTTCCTCCCCCACCTGAAGCGGTCTATGACCTGGTTCCTCCCCCACCTGAAGCGGTCTATAACCTGGTTCCTCACCCACCTGAAGCGGTCTATGACCTGGTTCCCTCCACCTGAAGCGGTCTATGACCTGGTTCTCCACCCACCTGAAGCGGTCTATAACCTGGTTCCTCCCCCACCTGAAGCGGTCTATGACCTGGTTCCTCCCCCACCTGAAGCGGTCTATAACCTGGTTCCTCACCCACCTGAAGCGGTCTATGACCTGGTTCCCTCCACCTGAAGCGGTCTATGACCTGGTTCTCCACCCACCTGAAGCGGTCTATAACCTGGTTCTCCACCCACCTGAAGCGGTCTATGACCTGTTTCCTCACCCACCTGAAGCGGTCTATGACCTGGTTCCCTCCACCTGAAGCGGTCTATGACCTGGTTCCTCACCCACCTGAAGCGGTCTATAACCTGGTTCCCTCCACCTGAAGCGGTCTATAACCTGGTTCCTCCCCCACCTGAAGCAGTCTATAACCTGGTTCCTCACCCACCTGAAGCGGTCTATAACCTGGTTCCTCCCCCACCTGAAGCGGTCTATGACCTGGTTCCCTCCACCTGAAGCGGTCTATGACCTGGTTCTCCACCCACCTGAAGCGGTCTATAACCTGGTTCTCCACCCACCTGAAGCGGTCTATAACCTGGTTCCTCCCCCACCTGAAGCGGTCTATGACCTGGTTCCCTCCACCTGAAGCGGTCTATGACCTGGTTCTCCACCCACCTGAAGCGGTCTATAACCTGGTTCTCCACCCACCTGAAGCGGTCTATGACCTGGTTCCTCACCCACCTGAAGCGGTCTATAACCTGGTTCCCTCCACCTGAAGCGGTCTATGACCTGGTTCCCTCCACCTGAAGCGGTCTATGACCTGGTTCCTCACCCACCTGAAGCGGTCTATGACCTGGTTCCCTCCACCTGAAGCGGTCTATGACCTGGTTCCTCACCCACCTGAAGCGGTCTATAACCTGGTTCCCTCCACCTGAAGCGGTCTATAACCTGGTTCCTCCCCCACCTGAAGCGGTCTATAACCTGGTTCCTCACCCACCTGAAGCAGTCTATAATCTGGTTCCTCACCCACCTGAAGCAGTCTATAATCTGGTTCCTCACCCACCTGAAGCAATCTATAACTTGGTTCCTCACCCACCTGAAGCAGTCTATAACCTGGTTCCTCACCCACCTGAAGCGGTCTATAACCTGGTTCCCTCCACCTGAAGCGGTCTATAATCTGGTTCCTCACCCACCTGAAGCGGTCTATAACCTGGTTCCTCACCCACTTGAAGCGGTCTATAACCTGGTTCCTCACCCACCTGAAGCGGTCTATAACCTGGTTCCTCACCCACCTGAAGCGGTCTATAACCTGGTTCCTCACCCACCTGAAGCGGTCTATAACCTGGTTCCCTCCACCTGAAGCAATCTATAGCCTGGTTCCTCCCCCACCTGAAGCGGTCTATAACCTGGTTCCCTCCACCTGAAGCGGTCTATAACCTGGTTCCCTCCACCTGAAGCAGTCTATAACCTGGTTCCTCCCCCACCTGAAGCGGTCTATAACCTGGTTCCCTCCACCTGAAGCGGTCTATAACCTGGTTCCTCCCCCACCTGAAGCGGTCTATAACCTGGTTCCCTCCACCTGAAGCGGTCTATAACCTGGTTCCCTCCACCTGAAGCAGTCTATAACCTGGTTCCTCCCCCACCTGAAGCGGTCTATAACCTGGTTCCCTCCACCTGAAGCGGTCTATAACCTGGTTCCTCCCCCACCTGAAGCGGTCTATGACCTGGTTCCTCCCCCACCTGAAGCGGTCTATGACCTGGTTCCTCACCCACCTGAAGCGGTCTATGACCTGGTTCCCTCCACCTGAAGCGGTCTATGACCTGGTTCTCCACCCACCTGAAGCGGTCTATAACCTGGTTCTCCACCCACCTGAAGCGGTCTATGACCTGGTTCCTCACCCACCTGAAGCGGTCTATGACCTGGTTCCCTCCACCTGAAGCGGTCTATGACCTGGTTCCTCACCCACCTGAAGCGGTCTATAACCTGGTTCTCCACCCACCTGAAGCGGTCTATGACCTGGTTCCCTCCACCTGAAGCGGTCTATGACCTGGTTCCTCACCCACCTGAAGCGGTCTATAACCTGGTTCTCCACCCACCTGAAGCGGTCTATGACCTGGTTCCCTCCACCTGAAGCGGTCTATAACCTGGTTCTCCACCCACCTGAAGCGGTCTATAACCTGGTTCCCTCCACCTGAAGCGGTCTATAACCTGGTTCCTCCCCCACCTGAAGCGGTCTATAACCTGGTTCCTCACCCACCTGAAGCGGTCTATAACCTGGTTCCTCCCCCACCTGAAGCGGTCTATGACCTGGTTCCTCCCCCACCTGAAGCGGTCTATAACCTGGTTCCTCACCCACCTGAAGCGGTCTATGACCTGGTTCTCCACCCACCTGAAGCGGTCTATAACCTGGTTCCTCACCCACCTGAAGCGGTCTATGACCTGGTTCCCTCCACCTGAAGCGGTCTATGACCTGGTTCTCCACCCACCTGAAGCGGTCTATAACCTGGTTCTCCACCCACCTGAAGCGGTCTATGACCTGGTTCCTCACCCACCTGAAGCGGTCTATAACCTGGTTCTCCACCCACCTGAAGCGGTCTATGACCTGGTTCCCTCCACCTGAAGCGGTCTATAACCTGGTTCTCCACCCACCTGAAGCGGTCTGTAACCTGGTTCTCCACCCACCTGAAGCGGTCTGTAACCTGGTTCTCCACCCACCTGAAGCGGTCTATGACCTGGTTCCCTCCACCTGAAGCGGTCTATGACCTGGTTCCTCACCCACCTGAAGCGGTCTATAACCTGGTTCTCCACCCACCTGAAGCGGTCTATGACCTGGTTCCCTCCACCTGAAGCGGTCTATAACCTGGTTCTCCACCCACCTGAAGCGGTCTATAACCTGGTTCCCTCCACCTGAAGCGGTCTATAACCTGGTTCCTCCCCCACCTGAAGCGGTCTATAACCTGGATCCTCACCCACCTGAAGCGGTCTATAACCTGGTTCCTCCCCCACCTGAAGCGGTCTATGACCTGGTTCCTCCCCCACCTGAAGCGGTCTATAACCTGGTTCCTCACCCACCTGAAGCGGTCTATGACCTGGTTCCCTCCACCTGAAGCGGTCTATGACCTGGTTCTCCACCCACCTGAAGCGGTCTATAACCTGGTTCTCCACCCACCTGAAGCGGTCTATGACCTGTTTCCTCACCCACCTGAAGCGGTCTATGACCTGGTTCCCTCCACCTGAAGCGGTCTATGACCTGGTTCCTCACCCACCTGAAGCGGTCTATAACCTGGTTCTCCACCCACCTGAAGCGGTCTATGACCTGGTTCCCTCCACCTGAAGCGGTCTATGACCTGGTTCCTCACCCACCTGAAGCGGTCTATGACCTGGTTCCTCACCCACCTGAAGCGGTCTATAACCTGGTTCTCCACCCACCTGAAGCGGTCTATGACCTGGTTCCCTCCACCTGAAGCGGTCTATAACCTGGTTCTCCACCCACCTGAAGCGGTCTGTAACCTGGTTCTCCACCCACCTGAAGCGGTCTGTAACCTGGTTCTCCACCCACCTGAAGCGGTCTATAACCTGGGTGACTCTGCTCCTCCTCCAGCGGTCCAGGCTTTCCTCCCAGTGCAGACGGAGGAGGTTCTCCTGCTGCAGGTTCTCCTCTTGGAGGCGCAGCAGCAGACGTGCGACGCTGCGTCGGTTTGAGAGGAGAGACTGGTTCAACATCTGAGACACAGACAGGAAGACTTGAGGGCCCATCACAATGTACAACATAAACCCTGAACCCTCAGGCACTGCATCAGTTATTAGTTTGTAATGGTGATATGGTCCATGTTATTGAGTGGAATGGGTCAGCATTTAGTTTGCAGCGTGTGGAGTTCAACCCAACTGTATCTAGTTGGTACCGCTCAAGCACCGGCTCACGCTTTGGTTCCAAACTCCTTGCTGGCTGATTCATACGGGGTCAGGGATTCGGTCTTGGTCTGGAACCAAACTCCTGGAGAGGGGCTGGACTCTCACCTTTCCTGGAGTTCCCAAAGGTTAGGGATGCTCTGGAGCCGCTCTGTTGGAGCTCTACCCGGGGGAGGAGAGGGTCTCTGACAAGAAGTCTCTGACAAGAAGTCTCTGACGGTTGTTTGTGCTTGTGAGTGCAGGAATGCCGTCTCGCTGGCCAGAAGGCCCTGCACACCAAAGCAAAAACCGAGTGTGCCCCCTTCTTTGTGCCCCCTTCTTTGTGCCCCCTTCTTTGTCCTCACTTCTTTTTGTTCAGGGAGGACAAAAAGAAGGGGGCAGTGACCGAACCTGGCGTCAAAGTCTGCGAAAAGTCAGCCCTGAACCCTCACAGGAACAGAACTGAAAATGTGTTCCTGTCAACTAAAGAAAGTCAGGGGTCAGGGGTTATTGGTCAGGGGTCAGAGGTCAGGGAGTTACCGTGGCCTCGGTGTGGATCAGCCGGCAGACATCAGGTGGAGGCAGGTAGCTGATCTTCTGCAGCAGGTGGAGGTACTTCCTGAGCACAGCTCTGATCTGCAGACAAACACCGTCACATGTAAACGCACGTGTTATTAGACGATTCTCCAGATACTACAACAACACTGTGGTACATTCCCTGATGGACTTCACTGAATAAAGAACACCTGTCAACACCTTGACTGGGAGTAAACAAACTGGACCTGAGTCTCAGACTGTGCTTTTTAAATGTATCTGAACTCTTCCCCCCCCCCCCCCCCCCATGGGACTCTGCTGACCTCTGCGGTTCGTTGAGTCTCAGATTCAGTCAGTTTGTGGTTCAGCTCCTGGATCCTGATCTCCTTCAGCTTCACCTGCCTCTCCACCTGCTCCCAGAGAACACACACCTCCTACACACACACACACACACACACACACACACACAAACACACACACACACACACACACACACACACACACACACACACACACACACACACACACACACACACACACACACACACACACACACACACACACACACACACACACACACACACACACACACACACACACACACACACACACACACACACACACACACACACACACACACACACACACACACACACACACACACACACACACACACACACACACACACACACACACACACACACACACACACACACACACACACACACACACACACACACAATGGGTTAAATTGTTCGACTATAATTTCTGTAGTGCATTCCAGGTGTTCACGTACCTGCACACTGTCATGTTCCAGGTGTTCCATTCTGTCCTTCAGGGATTTCAATCTGAGGTATACATCCTGCAGAGAGGACAGCAGCTCCACACTGACGTACCTCACCTGAGTCTCACACACCTGAACACACATTGTGTTAATTAGTTTAGATTATATGATTTATATCAGCTTACCCAATGTATGTCATGGTAGTATTTACCTTTGTTATGGTAGTATTTACCTATGTGAGGTGTTTTATGGTAGTATTTACCTGTGTCAGGTGTGTTATGGTAGTATTTACCTGTGTCAGGTGTGTTATGGTAGTATGTACCTGTGTGAGGTGTGTTATGGTAGTATGTACCTGTGTCAGGTGTGTTATGGTAGTGTTTACCTGTGTCAGGTGTGTTATGGTAGTATTTACCTGTGTCAGGTGTGTTATGGTAGGATGTACCTGTGTCAGGTGTGTTATGGTAGTATGTACCTGTGTGAGGTGTGTTATGGTAGTATTTACCTGTGTGAGGTGTGTTATGGTAGTGTTTACCTGTGTCAGGTGTGTTATGGTAGTATTTACCTGTCAGGTGTGTTATGGTAGTATTTACCTGTCAGGTGTGTTATGGTAGTATGTACCTGTGTGAGGTGTGTTATGGTAGTATGTACCTGTGTCAGGTGTGTTATGGTAGTGTTTACCTGTGTCAGGTGTGTTATGGTAGTATTTACCTGTGTCAGGTGTGTTATGGTAGGATGTACCTGTGTCAGGTGTGTTATGGTAGTATGTACCTGTGTGAGGTGTGTTATGGTAGTATTTACCTGTGTGAGGTGTGTTATGGTAGTGTTTACCTGTGTCAGGTGTGTTATGGTAGTATTTACCTGTCAGGTGTGTTATGGTAGTATGTACCTGTGTCAGGTGTGTTATGGTAGGATGTACCTGTGTCAGGTGTGTTATGGTAGGATTTACCTGTGTCAGGTGTGTTATGGTAGGATGTACCTGTGTCAGGTGTGTTATGGTAGTATTTACCTGTGTCAGGTGTGTTATGGTAGGATGTACCTGTGTCAGGTGTGTTATGGTAGTATGTACCTGTGTGAGGTGTGTTATGGTAGTGTTTACCTGTGTCAGGTGTGTTATGGTAGTATGTACCTGTGTCAGGTGTGTTATGGTAGGATGTACCTGTGTCAGGTGTGTTATGGTAGGATTTACCTGTCAGGTGTGTTATGGTAGTATTTACCTGTGTCAGGTGTGTTATGGTAGGATTTACCTGTCAGGTGTGTTATGGTAGTATTTACCTGTGTCAGGTGTGTTATGGTAGGATTTACCTGTGTGAGGTGTGTTATGGTAGTATTTACCTGTGTCAGGTGTGTTATGGTAGGATTTACCTGTGTGAGGTGTGTTATGGTAGTATTTACCTGTGTCAGGTGTGTTATGGTAGGATGTACCTGTGTGAGGTGTGTTATGGTAGTATTTACCTGTGTCAGGTGTGTTATGGTAGGATTTACCTGTGTCAGGTGTGTTATGGTAGTATTTACCTGTGTCAGGTGTGTTATGGTAGTATTTACCTGTGTCAGGTGTGTTATGGTAGTATTTACCTGTGTCAGGTGTGTTATGGTAGTATTTACCTGTGTCAGGTGTGTTATGGTAGTATTTACCTGTGTCAGGTGTGTTATCGTAGGATGTACCTGTGTCAGGTGTGTTAT